AGTTATTAAAATAATGTTAATAACTGTCAATATAAAATTGCATTCAAGTACTGAGTAGCCACTGTTGAACTACAAATGCACAAATAACTATATTTCTGGGCAAAAGGTTAATTTTATAATAAATTTAAGCTGTTTTATTCACCATATATGCTTCAGCAACTCTCCAAATCCAGGGGAAATATTGTGGTAACGTTACCAGGGCAGGGACTTCTCCTTGGTCGTAAGGCTGCTAAAATATGAATCAGTTTGTTAATTTTACAGACAGGTGGCTGTTTACAATGCACTAAATGCCTTTAACGAAACGGAAATATTGTGCACATGCAAAGTTTAGCCAAAAGTTTTAAGCACAATGTCGTGGGAAAAGGTTGACTAAAATGTCCCTGCAGGATTACAGAACAAATTCCCTGTCATGACTACAGAACTAGCTTAGTAATGATACATGCCTACATGATACACGATACACAGTTGAGAAAGTGCAAACGCGTTCATTTAAAAACTTTAACGTTAACGTTCCAACTTTAATAACTGTCAACACGTAATATAATTCCAGCGTACGTTATCGCACAAGTCTATGAACTAACGTTACATAGACGGCCACAAAGGACCCAGTTTAAAAGGGCAGCAGTGTTTGAAATAACCAAATTAATTAATTGTGTTGAACGTACATTAATTTTTTTTTATGCACTTTGTATGCGTGAGCATATAGAAAAACATTCTTGAAAAGAAATCAACAACAATGCAGTTAAGTTAGATACACAAACGAACATGAATGAACCGTAGAAGTTTAAAATTGTCACTCCATTTTAAAGTAATTAACTTAACAATATATTTAGCACTGTATTTCCTAAGAGAAAGTCAGTAAAATGCCAACATTGAGGTGGTTTGACTCACCAGTGGCTGTTCTAAAACTCAGATGGAATATGTTGTCTAGAAAATTCTTCAGTGACTTGGGCTGCATGAATGTTGGAAATAACACCACCAAGTGTTGGACAGAGAACTCCTTAATTTCGCACTGGATCAAATCAATTCTAACTGATTATATTTATTTATCAAAATCTAACTCTAATGTTAACTCTAATCTAATGTCAACACTTTACTCTGAAATGCTTCAACACTGAGAATTTAACTCTGATGAATTTGCTGTGTGGTTGTTGTGGCTGCGTGGTGTTATCGCTGTCTCTGTGGAATGCTTCAGCCACAAGTCACCTCAGGAGCTGATTTGAAGTCATGTAGTTTTTCATGCATGCCATGTGTATGCCATTTGGGCTGAGTTCAGTAGCAAATACAATGTACATATACAATGGATGATGAAGGGAGAAATATATTAAGAGTTCTGATGCAAAAGCCTCTAAACGCCACTTCCACCAAAAATGAGTTAATGACATTGACTGAATTCTTTAGGCATGTACTACAACATCAACAAATAGATTTGCTTTAATCATCATTCAGTTGTCCCCTCATTCAGAAATAACAGTTTTTTGGCAAAAGCCTCTAAACGCCACTTGCCTTTGACAGCATAAGTCGCTATATCCTGAGAACCAGAATCAGAAGGCGCAAATCAAATCATGTTTTTAATGTAGCAGCGCTCTGATACACCGGCTTTCATGAGGAGATATTATGTTTTATTCTTCTTCCAATTTCGATATTAAAAGATGGAGTTTGATGAACTAGATGAGCCTTTCCAACTGATAGTGAATGGCAAATGAAAATGTCCCTTACCTCAAAACTTTGTGCATTATAAGAAAAATAAAACACACTGTACAGTCGGAAGTGTAGCATGCATTCATAGCTTTTTTTGCGCAGCGACGCTACTTTGAATGAGTCCGATTTACTGTACAGTATATGGCAACTCTGTTTCACGAAAGACAAAGTTAAGATGTTTTTATCTCGCATGGATGCTATGAGGATAAACAAGAGACCAAGACCTTAAGTATATGAGAATGAATGAATGACAGCTTCTAAAATTGTCTGAGGCATCCCTTTTGCCCAATAGGCCTACCTTGTGTTTTATTTGCTAATGTAAGCTATCTTTTAAAATGTAAATATAATGTATAAAACTATTAATTATTTGTAATACTTCAAAATACCTATACATCTGATACGCTTTTTATATTATTGGACAATGCACAGATATTGAAGTTTCAAAATGTTTTACACCACATTATTTGAATCTACCAAGCTTAGTTTACAACATTTGCAGTGTTTACATTGCTCTACTTACATGAAATCTAAATCCCAAAAATCAGAAATGACAACAGATTGTTAAAATTTAATTAATTTCAGTTTTAATGTTATTGATTAATACACTTTCTTGACAGATTTTATTCATTCACTTCCTTCTGCCTTTTCCCTGGTTTATCACAGTGGAATAACCCGCCACTTACTTGACAAACTTATGTTTTGTTTTTTGTTTTTTTCATTTTAAATGTTTTCTGTAATGTGTTTTATGTTTGGTAAAATAATTAAACTAATTCAACTAATTGGCTTGTCCCAATAGGTAGATTTAGAGGTTTTTGCAAAAAAAAAAAAAAAGCTGACGTGGATTTAGCTGGTTTTAACGCAAAAGGAAAATCTACCTTCTTAAAAAACAAAACAATTGGCTAAAGTGACATTTTTGAAAAAAAAGTTATTTTATTTACTAGCTAATAACTTTTTCATTATCGATAAAATAAAACTTCTGAACCTAATTAGAAGAGCCTGATAGAAAATACTCATTTACAAGAAAAGAGGTCAGATGGATTTAGATTTAGAACTCTTCATATATTTTTTGGCCCACCTGGAATGTCACTTGGCCCACGCTAAAGTTTCAAACTAGAGTCGGGCCTGATTTTTAATAACATCTTGCTCAACCTACCCACCCTAAACCTACCCCTCACAGTAATGCAAAACAGTAATTATAATGACAATGATTTATATTATTTATTAAATTACCCATTCAATTGTATTTCATTAACAGCAACGTAAAAACAGGAGTTGTATTGTTCAAATAATTCTATTGTTGAAATAATATAAATAATTATTGTTAACTTCTGGCTGTAGCTGTATCTCTTCTAGACTTTGGCGGACAACCCTCGGATACCCCTGGCACTGCAAAAAAATACTTTACCACAGCAATTCATAGTACATAATACTGTAGTGCTTTTGAATCACATTATAGTAAAGTGTATAATATTGAACATAATATATATTGGCCTAAATTATTGCCACCCCAGACATTTTTCAAGAAAATCAAGTATTACTCACAGAAAAGTATTTCATTAACATGTTTTGCAATACATGTTTATTCCCTTTGTGTGTAATGGAACAAAAAAAAAAAAAGAAAAAAAATTAAATTTGACAATGTCACACAAAACTCAGAATTATCGATCAGAGGCTTCAAATAAGTTTAATCAATTTAATGGATAAATCATACAGAGCTCTGGACTGCAAAGCTAATATCTTTACAACATGAGGTACTCAACAGCTGCTTTCTAAGCCCTTGCACAAAGTTTTTATCGTCGTCTGTCTCTTCAGCTCCTACTTTGCATTTTCCCTTTAATGGCAGATGTCCTCTTACCAGTTTTCAGAGAAAATAGCTCTTAACAGGTTAGCATAGACACATACATACACCATCAGTAATAGTTAGCCAGAACATTCTGTAATTTTCCATCCTTTATCTATCACACTATTGCTGGCCACTTCAGAACTCTTATGTTTGGGGTCATTGTCCTGCTGGAAGACCCCAGATCACAGATACAAACCCAGCTCTCTGACACTGGCCCCTACACTGCAATTCAAAATTCTTTGGTAATCCTCAGACTTCATGATGCCTCAAACATGGTCAAGCCACTTAGTGCCTGAGGGAGCAAAACAACCCCAAAACAACATATTTGAATCTCCAACATATTTGACTGTAGGTTATTTCTTTGTAGACCTCATTTCGTTTTCCTTTCTTTGCTTTACCAAAACGCTTGAAGCATAACACTTACACCAATTATGGTCACATACCATCTGCTGGCAGAAGGAAAGTTTGGCTAACATTCACTTAGGCATATTTCTTTTATTTACCCACTAAATGATTATTTCCCACTGTCCTCTGCCATTCTATGCTTGGGTGTGATTGTGCTATATATTATTATACCATACTGTATGTACTATGTGTTTGGACTGTGGGAGAGACCGGAGCACCCAGAGGAAACCCACACCAACACGGGGAGAACATGCAAAAAGAAGTGCCAACTGACCCAGCCGAGGCTCGGACCGGTGACCTTCTTGCTGTGAAGTAATCATGCTACCCACTGCACCACCGTGATGCCCTGCACTAACCATACTGCACATTTGTATTAACCTAACAATAACTTAACAATAACTCCCCATTTCTGCTGCCCAGTTTTAGAGATATTTTTTCAGCTTGAAACTGGGTAAATAAAATTCAAGAAGAAGCTTCCTAGGCTTGATTTAGATCAGTTTAGAGAGGCCTTCATTAGAGCAATTTGATTCCAGTCCTGCTGTGGACCGCTAGCTAAACTTCATACAGCTTAAATTATAAATAAATGATAAACATTATTTAAACTGTTGTTAAAGTGAAATAAAACCTATTGTACTTATTGTATTCAAATGAATTAAACTGCTATGCTTCTAAAGATCTCCCCATGTATATTTATTAGGCAAAAATAATATTTGTTTTATTAATTTTCACTGCGCTCCTAAAATTCTTTAATGTGCTCCTAAATTTTTCAACTTAGGAGTGCATGTGCTCCTTATGAAAAAAGTCAGCATCAAGTCCTGGTTCTTTCATTGATGCTTGCAGCTTAAATAAATTTTTTACATATCTGTAAAAATAATTTCATTATTCCTTTTATTTTTGTATTTGGGGAAAGTATACTTTAAAACATTAAATAATTTAATATCTTGTACTGTTTACAGGGGTTTTATCAACAAAGCTGAAGAAAAATGTTGCTGAAGGCCAGTGTACCAGCGGATCAAAAGAAAAAGGGTCCTGACAAAAAACACTACTTCACTATGATTAAACAGGTTTTTATTAAAGCAGTCTGATGAAACACAAGGATCAACTATTAAAATAAACACAGCTTTAGATATAATGCAAAAACTAAAAGCTAAACTTTGACACATTTTCACTAAGTAGATTTGATAAATGCACTGTTAAAAATTTACTTAGAGGCAGTAAACAGTAAATCTAATACTAAAAATATGCTTGAAATATGATGATCTTCCATTGGGCAGCTGAGATTGGTGGCTTCAGTGAACAAACATCATTTTCAGACAGACTCTTCTGCAGGATTAGTCATGCTAAAAATAAGAAATTTTTTGTCAGACTGCTGGGGCAAATCAGATGAACAACTTTAAGCTTATTATTATGAATTTCTGATTACTTGTTTTTCACCATAGATAAGATGTTTCCTCCTAATTTGTCCTTCTCTGTCTCAGCGTCCTCTTCGGAGTTGAAGTCTTCATTCAAAATCTTGGTATCTATAAACATGTAACCACAATGTGAGCTTTTTAAAATGTAAACAATTGACATATACTTTTTCAAAAAGAGTCAGCATGCATTAAATAAAACAATAAATCTAGATAGAAGAAAAAAAAAGATCATGAAGGAACACAAAGAGACTGCCTGTAATTTCGCTACATCTCACAAATATTTGCAAATGATTATTAGATTATCAAACCTATTTGCAGTAACAAATCCCTCTATGGTGAGTGTCAATGCTTTGCACAAGTGCGTAAGAAGGTTTGTTTAGTTTAAAATGTTCAAGTTTAAAATACAGTCTGTCCTTTTAAGAGTAATTTATTGACCTGTATTGACATATATTATTTATAATTTCACATACACACACACACACACACACACACACACACACATATATATATATATATACATATTAGTGCTGTCAAAATCAGCGTGTTGACGCCTGCGATTAATTTGAAATATTTAAAGAGTTAAAAAAATTAACACCGTTAATGTGGTTGCAGCTTTTTTTAAATTTCCTGTTATGGCCGACGTGCGCTCAATGTGCAAAAAATTTTGATTAACACCAAGGACTTTTAAATAGAAAGGTTCAGTATAAAACAATTAATGTTGTCGTGTCACCAGCTTATTCCTCATTTACTCTAGAGTTTTATGTAATTTCGGGTGTTTCATTAAAATTTTTTCGACTTTATCTGCAGTTGACAGTTTCACTTTAATTTCGGCAACATATTGTTCATGCCCCGTGACAATTATTAGATAAGAATATGAAGTAAGGACTGGTGGAAGAGTGTTGTTTTTATGGAGTTTGATACCGCACACCGAATGGAAAAAAAAACTCCGCATTTCATGACGTGGTTGTCTGTGGTCCCTTAAGGTAATCAAAAATCACTATTTACATGGTCGACTCTTAATCAGAGTATTATCTTAATCATATTAAAATCAGAGTACTGGTGTCCTTGTAAACGTACTCAGTGAAAGTGCCAGATGATGTCGCAAGCTGTCAAAGACATTCCTCTGCCTTTAAGTTGATTTCATGTGCCCCCAAATGTTTCATTAACTTTGACTTGTTTCCTCCTTTATAACTTTTGTAAAGCACCTGTTTCACGTTGCTGTTTTAGAATCATTGCTTGTAAAATATAGCCATACTTTAGAATGGTTAGTTTAAGCAAATTTGATGAACATGATCATGTGTGTTGTTGAATTTGAAGGGAGTGGCTCACCGGATGCGCTGTACTGCGCACATTGCCTATGTGCATACATTCCCTACAAGAACACCTGCCAAACATTGCCCATGGTGTCCATATCCCTCAAAATTGTTTAGAATTAAATGTTTAGAAATGGTAAGACACAACGCGTACCTGTGCGTGCCTTTGATGTTACTCTTGATGCTTCTTACATCCTTGTTGCAGCACCAGTGGCACCAAAATTCATATTCTTATTCGGTCTGGTGCATACCAGTTACATAGGCATTGCACCAGGTTTCAGTACCCAACCCTAGATGTGAGAGACTGTTCTCACTCTCAGGTCACATCATTCAAAAGAAAAGAGCTACTTGGTCCCCTGATAATGTCAACCAACTGGTCTTTCTCAGCAACTGGTTAAATGTAAAGGAGGACTTAGCAAAATTGATTCAACTTTCAACAATACAACTTTTCAATACAATCAATCAGTACAATTGTTTGTATGCATTTTGTTTCATTGATTCATTCATTCATTTATTTGAAATAAATATTTAAAATACATACAAAATATTTATATTCTTTTCAGCTTAGTCCCTTTATTAATCTTTATTAAGCAGAATAAACCAACAACTTATCCAGCAAATGTTTTTTAAGCAGTGGAGGCCCTTTCAGCTGCAACCTATTACCTATTAATCTTACTGAATATTACATTTAGCAAGCACTTTTAAATTTGACATGATGTCAGGCACCTTTCTAAACAATTTTCTATTGGCATCAAGTGTTTTGCAAGGTGTTCATGTGCACCACGCACATTTCGTGTTCATCTGCTGCACCTAGGGTTTTGATGGAGCACTATGTGCACCTGCAGTTGGAAAAAGTTAACTTTGTGCAATAAAACTACTGAGCATCAAGAGTGTTGATACAATGTTGTTGCCCAGCATCATAAAAAAATGCAGCACTCTGTTTTTTTGAAAACAGTTTTTTTCTAAAGCCAACAAAAATGCTGATGGATTTTCTAATGAATGTCTGTTGTAGTATATATCCTTTCGTATGTCTTTATGCAATTTCCACAGTGTCCCAAGTTTTTCTGATTTGGGGTTGTACAAAAATGACAACAGCCAACAAGAATCAGAATATCTATCAAGTTTTTCAGTTATTTGTGATACAAAAAAAAAAAATAAATAAAAAAATAAAATATATATAAACTGAATTGTATGATATATATATATATATATATATATATATATATATATATATATATATATATATATATATATATATATATATATATATATATATATATATATAGTAAGAATTATTGTTACCACAACACTCATCAACACTGCATATTTTCCCTTATTATACTAAGATTAATTTATCCATGTAAATTAAAAATTAAAGCTGTAAAATGTCTACCTAATGATTTAATACAAAATAAAGCATGTGGAAATTCATTCTTTACCTTTCTGCTCTTTAGTTTGTTCTGTGTTTTTTAGGACTCCCCTCTTGGCTTCTTCAAATAGTTTCTGTTCAGTCAGACTTTTATTGAGCACCTGACTTAGCACTGATTCTCCTTCTCCCATTAAAAACATACTTTTAAACTTATTATATAGCATAATAGCTTTGTCCATCACATCCTGGCTGGATTTGAATCTGCAGATCTGTAAAACATTTTACAAAGCTCTGATTCATGTTCATTGTGTTTTGTTACTGTTTGTTTAATGATGTGCAATAGCAATGGACAAACATATTAATGGTAAAACCTTGCCCAAAATGTCTTTAACAATACCTTTTTCAGAGTTGCTATGAGTTCACTATGTCTCTGAAGATGTTGAGTGGTAACATGTAGAGAGCTTAACTCATCCAATGCATGTACACATTTCCTTACATCCTAAATATTAAGAGAGTGTACATTTACGTTCATTTAAAACTTCAGCAAACTTTATAGCTCTTTACAGGTGTCACCTGAATAAATTACAGATATAAGGTTTAATAATGACAAAGGAATTGAAAGAAAAACAAAATTCTTGACTTACTAAATTACCAATCTTCAATGATGTCTTAATCTCCCCGTGCAACTTCTGCAGTGTGGACTCTGCAGAAACTTCTTTTTGTTAGGAGGGAAAAAATACAACAACAACAACAACAACAACAACAACAATAATAATTAGATAATTAGGTGATTTATGGACAGCATAGCATTTTGCTATTCATTGCCTTACCCTTTCTTTTGTCACCTTTTCTTTCATCTCTCTTTCCATCTTTACCTGACCTGGACACACAAAAAACACAATTCATGTTTAGTTTTAATATTTAAACTCAGGCTAAAAGAAAAAAAGAAGAGGAAGAATAATGTCTAAAGAACAACAAATCCAATATAAATATATTTGTTCTGACAATGGGATATTATAACAAAAAAGCACCCATAATAAACAACAACAAACATGTATAGAAAATGTACCCAAAATGTTGTTTAATAACAGAAAACAAGAGCAGGGAGTGTTTAATAAGCTGCTATGCATTTTACTGTGGCACAAAAAAATATTAAATTTATAAAAAAAAAAAAAGATATGTGACAGCTGGATAAAGTTCTTAATTATACTGTAATTGAAACAGATTCTTCAATGTCATCATGTTTTTTATCATCTATAAAATCTTATTCTAATTTATGACATATCATCATGACTATAACGCTTTCATGACAATCTTACAAACACCCACATCAAGTGCTATCATACGCCTGATTTTCATGAAAACCCAGTTTTAAAAATTTTAAACATGTTCAATGTTTAAATGAACCTTTTTTCAGATATTAGAAACAAGATCTGGAGCATTAATCTACATTAATATTATTTTAACAGTCTGCAAAATCAACTGTTAAAAAAAGCAAATTAACTTTATTATTATTATTTTTTAAATGGATTAATTTAATGTACAGTTACTTGAGATTTGAAATATTAATTTTTAATTTAACAACATTTTTTATTTTTATTGATTTCTCTCATTACTTTTATTAATAAGTAAATGCAAAGATGCAAATAGACATCCTGCGGTGCAAATTGAGCATTTTGTACGTTTGATGTTTTGAGTTGGAAAATCTAAACTTTAGCATACATTCACACCATGTAAAGCTGAAAGATTCCATCATCAGTTATAGTTTCTGGAGGAGTTTCTCACAGAGCTGGGTGCTCCTCTGAAAAGATCTAGTGCACTCAGACACAGCACCGAACAAATCTATGCTGTTTTTCAGCATTCCTAAAGCACAACTACTCTCTCAATAAATCCCATGTTAGCCATTTAGCAACGAAACTAGAGTCACTGGGCAGACAAAAGCCCAGCCCATGACGTGAATCTGCGTCTTTTGCGATGAAGTGTCAATAGCGAGGGATTTACATGTTAAGCCTACATGTTAATCCTGCTGCGCAATTCGCGTGAAACTCAAAATGTTCACGCATCTATTTACGTGTGAACAGTGTGATTTATTTGCACATGCTGCGTCTGGTGTGAACTTTTTTGTGAGCATTACACAATTGACAACAATTTAAAAAATATATATTTTGATAAAATCTAATATAAAAAAATTATTAGGTCAAATTAAACTAACACAATTAACTTACACTTAAACTGCTAAAGTTGTGTTGTAGTAATATTAATGACAGACATTTTGCAGATCTACAAATTGGTATGTGGAATATACAGGGATTAGACAACGAAACTGTATTACCTAGTTTTAGAACACAATAATTCATTACAATACATGTTTCACATAGTCCATGGCCCAAGATTTTTATCGCTGGCACCTTTGAAACTGATGTCTAGCATTAGCACAAATGACCAAAGGTTTGGCCATAGCAGTCTGGCCATATCTCCCATGTGGAGATCCCAATAAATAGTTTTGGTGGAAACAGGAGAGTTGAGGTGCACATTTAATTCTGCAGGTGAGTTGGGCAGCTGAGTTTTTATGTTTTTTAGATGCAATTGGTATTAGCATCGGGACATCCCTTTCACACAGCTTCCTCTTGCGTCCACAGTTACTCCTGTGTTTTTATTTTATTATTATTATTTTTTTCACAAGGTTTCTATAATCCTACACCAGGCCATATGCTGAGCAGCTGCAGTGGTGGTTATGGAGGAGTGGAGAGCATGAGACTGATCCCTGTAAAACCCCAGTGACAGACGAGTCCTCAGATTGATCCTGAAGGGACAGCCTGTACACCAGCTGGTGATCTCTCCCACCTTTAGCTTCTCGATGATGGACATCCAGCGCTGTCTAGCCTCCAGCACCTAGACTGCAGCTCTGCACAAGATGTTTAGCTTATAGGAGAAATGGTCGTGCCCTACTGAGCCTGGTTTCTCTCTATGTTTTTTAATTCTTTACTTTCGTCAATTGAAGTTTTTTCCTCACAGCTGTTGCCACTGGCTTGCATGGTTCAGACCTGTGAAGCTGCACATCGATGGATTTGCTGTTCAGTGTTTGAATTCTCAGCAGTAAATATTAAACCAAACTGATCTGAACTAAATTGAACTTCAACACTGAAAACTGGACTGACACTGTTCCAATTTACTATAATCTTCTATGTGAAGCTGCTTTGACACAATCTACAAAAGCGCTATAGAAATAAAGATTAATTAAATTGAACCCTGTTGGATGTGGTTCATCCTTCTTGGTGGTATGCTGAAATCACCCTGGATAGCATGGCTCTTGATACATCACAAGGACACTATCGTGGACACAGATGTGCCAACGAGATGCCCACCAACAATTTGTCCTCTTTTGAAACCTGATATGTCACCTATAATATTGTGTGTATTGCAATATTGAAAGTAGAACTGTGCTATTACTCTGCTAAATAAACCTTCATACAATGCTCTAACTAGTGGAATGTGCTATAATGAAGACTGGCCATTAGGCTGGTCAAATTTTGCCATGAACCTCTAACATTAAACTGGAAAATGTTTTAGTTTCATTGTCAAACCCCTGTATGTGTTTTTAAATACTCATTTATTAATATATAAATTATGCATTGAAACTATATTTAACAGTGTTCATGTGTTTACTGCCTCATTTTTAAATACTGCCTCATTTTTAAACGCGAAAAAACCTTAGTACCACAATTCTGCATTCTTCTGTGTTGCTTAGCAATGTAAATACAACAATGTAAAAGACATGAAACATGGGTACTTCCCACATCCTGTTTTTTGAATACTATGAATTTGGACTTACTACAAGAATCCTAAAGGAAATTTCAAAGGAAAACTTTTTGAGACTTTTAAAGACCTTCTCAGAATATTTTAAGACCTCATCGCTCATTCAAGTTCTAATCAATTTAAAACCTTTAACTTACTGAACAGTTGTTAATAAACATTTGTAGTTAAATAAATTAATGGATCACAACTGTATAAAAGAAACTTAGATAAGCTCGGAGGAAACAAACCTTGAAAATAAAATTATGATGTTGTTTTCAGCGACAGGCTTCAGCAACCGTTTAAACCGTTTAAATTTAAGCTTTATATTATTCTAAGTATTTAAATGAACTGTTGTTATTATTTGCGTTTATACATAATAATTTTTGCAATTTGTAATAATTCATCTAAAATATCATTTGTTCACATTGCACTGAAAGCCACGCACAACTCTCATGGCTACAGCGTGAGACATTTTCTACTCGGTCTGTCTGAAAGGCGCGAGCGCATCGCTCCGCTTGCGCATGCATATTGACATATTCTTACATTGGACATAACTAACTTACCTTGGTCACACTATTTGGGGGCCAGAACAAATTGCCTCATGGGCCGCCAACTAAACAGCCCTGCTCTATGGTTTCGCTACATGTGGAGAGCATCACATCACCTTCCAGCATTTGTCGCAAATTACTTGACCTCACCCATACAGAGTAGCTTAGCTGGACGCACCCAGCCTGAACCAATCAAGGAAAATAAATATATTGATGCTTTTTTGGAGTCAAACACTTAAAAAAAACTTGGACAATGCTTGAAGAAAATTTAAGACCTCGTAAAAACACGATTAAGACTTTTAACGGTCTTAAGTTTTTTTGTTTTATCAACTTTTGGACACCTTGTATATAGTATGGAAGAATGTGATTTTAGATGCAGCCTTTGATTTTAGTTTTACTTCCATTTTCAAAATCAGTCCCACATATCAAGTTTAATAAAAACCTAAATGTAAAATTGGGGGTATTATCATTGTAATCTTATTAAGACCTAAGAGAAAAAAAGTGTACTTGAGTACACAAAAAATATAATGAAATACATTCAAGCACAACCTTATTTTTTATACTAAATAAAGTAAATAAAAACAAAATATGCACTTTGAATATACTAATTAAAAGTATACTTTTATTTAAGCAGTAATTAAGTACAACTCTAAAAGTATACTAAAAACCACTGACATTTAAATCATTTTTTGTAAATAAATAATGTGTACTACTTCAAAATTTTTATGTGTATTTCTTAAAAGTAACATTTAAATGTTATAAATATGTTAGTTTGCACTTGTTAGTAGTAGACTTTTACATAGTACCATAAATATGAATGAAATTAAACTTTTTAAAAATATTTAAGTACTGTAATAATAATTCAAATGTTGTTGTCCCAATGTTCTACATATGTATATCTTGCAGTAATACACTAATTTCTACTACACAAAAAATGCACTAAAATTTTCAATTGTATACAAGTACATTCAAGTACATTCGTTGACATTCATGGGCGCCACAGAGAGCCACGAGACAGCAACGAGCCTGTTGGAGCGAATGTTTACAAGTGTGAGTCCTGTAAACATAAAAACCCGCTGCCAGCTAGCGATTCAGAAGTGTTATTGCAGAGCAATACAAACAGCACACTGAAGTAAAAATGCATGGCTAAGCACAAGGCAAGTGCCAAAGGTCACGGCGATCACTCGACGCAGAACTTTAAATCAACCTTTAAAGTCTTGCAGCCACATCTGATCTCTGGTCAAGTAGGATGATGGACCCATTCTTGAGCTTTACTTTGAACTAGATTTAATACTATTTTGCACTAGAATGAATACTACTTTGCACTAGATTGCTCTGTGCCAGAGATGCCTTGAGATGCCATATTCTCTATTACATTAACATTATTATTTACATTAAAATATTTGTTTACAGAAGATGCATGAAATGCACTGTTTAAAATATTACAGGATGTGCAAGAGTTGTTTTTTTTTTTTTTAGAAGAGATAATGCTTATTTTCTACTTTTAAAAATAAAAAACACTGAAAATAATTTATTT